TCCCCCGGGAGGCGCTGCCAGAGGCGGGGCGACCGTCAGGGGCTGGTCAGCGCCCCGTCCACCGCCTCTGTGAACGGCGACCTCAAGTGCTGAGGCCCTGCATGGCAAGGGCAGCCCTGAGCTGGGCAGGGGACTGCAGGGCCCGGGTGTGTGCTGGGGCCTGGGCACGTGTGTGTGCACGGGGAGAGTGCACATGTTCACACATGTGCTTGTGTGTGTGTGTGTGAGTGGGAATGGGGTCTGAGTGTGTTCCCGTATGTGTGAATACATACATATGGACACGTGTTTGTGTGTGCAGGTGTGTGTGTGTGTGTGCACATGTGCATTTGTATATATGCAGCACGTGCGATATTTATCCATGTATGTGAGAACACGTGCGTGAGAATGTGTGTTTGCATGTGTAGTGTACATGTGGGCCTGTACAATGCAGGTGTGCGTGTGCATGGTGTGTGCGTGTATATGTGCATGAGTGTTCCTGGCACACATGACCACTCAGGGCCTGGCGGTCCGCGGTGTCCACCTGGGGTGGGGACCCAGACCCCAGACCTCAGAGCAGACTGGCCAGGCCCCACCACACCCTCACATGCCCCAGCAAGTCCACGGCTCGGAGCAGAGGCCGCCCGGGTGCACACAGGGACGGGTGGCATTCCTTCGGCTCCTTGGGAAGAAACTCACCCTTCCTGACCCTGCCCTTGCTCACAATCCCTTACCCTGGGGAGTCCCAAGGGGGCGAGCTGGGGGTTTTGTCCCTTGATGAGGAGTGGCCTTCGAAAACAGCCGGAGCGGGTCTGTGAGCGAGAAGAGGCGGCCACGTCCCCCAGACCTGCCCTCAGCCAGCCGGGAAAAGCCCTGGGTCTTGGCCGAGGTCTGGCTTAATGAGTACCAGCCCCTTTAATCATTGTCGGGCCACAGGAGTTGACAAGCAGTGAAATAAAGCCACCTGGTACAGCAGAGGGCAGGACCAGCTTGTGTTCTTCCGAGGGCACCGGCCACATGAGTGCTCAGCGCGTCAGAGCTGGGGTTACAGGGTAACCAGCTTCGGCTCCCTGGCAGCCCTGGCACCTCTGGCAGCCGTGGCGCTCTGAGAGGCCAGCCCCTGGTGCCCCCTCCCCACTCTGGGGTGCCTGGGCTTGGGTTTGCCCTCAGCGTTAGTGCAGCTACTCAGCACTTGGGGTGCTGACCACAGGAAGGTCTGGGGACTCATAAGCAGGGGGTCCTGGGGTTCCTCCCATGCAGAGGCCCTGGACACTGCATCCCTCCCAGAAGCTTGTCCAGGGCAGCCACCAGCTCCAGGTGCCAATTCCACAAATGCTGACACCCCCTGCCCACGCCTGGCCCAGCCCGAGAGCTGCGGGGTTCTGCAGGGACAGGCAGGTGCTGACCCCACATACCCCAGGGCCCTGGTGGCTGAAGGCGGGCCCCACCTGTCTCCATCCCATCCCGGGCTCTCTGACCTCAGCTGGGACAGTGCTGATGGGTGGCAGATCACGTGGTGTCCCTGGGGAGGCAGACCTGTGTCTGCCTCGCCCCCTCTCCTGGCTCCGCGCTGTCCTGCAGGCCTCGGTGTCCTCGCAGGGTGGGGACACAGGCACAGTGGGGTCGGGAGCCCGTCCAAATGAGCTGCCCCCACGCGGTCCGGCCGCATGGGCGCCTGGGAAGCAGGAAAGCCAGGCTCCGTGGACTCGGCTGTGCAGGGAGTGTGAGCTGCACTCCTGAAGCCTCCCCGCTCCTCGCTTCTGTGTCCAGGACTTCCCCGGAGAAGCCTGGAGGCTGTGGCCCTGGGCCCTGTGTCGGGGAGGCAGGCGCTCTGCTCGGGGCTGGGCGCAGGGCCGAGTGCCCCGGGGGCTGTGTGTCCTGCTGGCAGCAACGGAAGGCTTGGCCCCTGCCTCGGGGCGGGAGGCCACCGTGCGCCCACACCTGCCCCCTTTACACTCTCAGTCCTCACTCTCCTTCTCACACTGAGTCTTCACAACATGCCTGCCGCTGCCCTGCACCGCTGCCCTGCCGTGGAGACATGTCCGGGGTCTGAGGGCACAATCGGCTCTTGGCCTGTGTCTGGACGGGGGCCCCCAGACCTGGAGGTGTCTCCGCCCATCACCCCACGGGCACAGTGCCGTCGCCTCTCGCCTGTGGCTGCGGTGACAGGCAGACAGCTGGCTCAGTGCGGGAGGAAGTCCCACCTCCCAGGCAGTGCCCCAGCCCCCACCGAGTTGTCCACACTCTGCCCATGGGAGTAGGACGGGCGTCCACCTCAACCATCATCCCTGACTTGCAGGGGCCCCCTCGACACCGGGCGGGTGACTGGGCAGGTGTGGCATGTGCCAGGCGGGGCTGGGTGGTCTCTGGAACTCAGAGGAGGAGCATGCGGAGTAGCCAGGCCTGTGTTCAGACGCCCCGAGGAGTTAAAGCAAATACGACTTCAATGAAATACACGGGCACCAACGGCCCTCCCACCGCGGGCCGTGCCGGCTGTGCCCACAGCGCGAGAGTGGCTGCCGTCGTGGCCAGAGCGGCCCAGCCAGGAGCCTGTCCCCTCAGACTCGCTCAGCGTGGAAAGAGGACGCTGCCGAGGCTCGCGGCATGGAAAAGCCGGGACAGCTGCGGCCTGTGCGCCCGCGAACGGCCTAGGGAAACGAGTGATGGGAGGGTTGGTAGGAGAGCAGCGTCTGGTGCCAGCACCCAGCACCCAGCTGCGTCCACGCATCCACGCTGCAGAGTTGAGGCCGTTGCCGCTGCGGAAGAGCACCGAGCATGCAGTCCCTCCCCGTGCCAGTTCCCAGGCCAGGACAGACTGGCGAAGCGAGGAATAGTGGAAACTGCGGCAGGTGCCCACCCGGGGAGTCCCGTGGTCCTGCCCGGAGCTCAGGGCTGTCTCTTGGGTGCACCCCTTGCTGGAGGGCCCTAGGCCCAGCCGGGCATGCCAGGCAGAGGTGGGAAAAGAGGCCAGGGGATGCGGGCGGTGACAGGCTGGACCGCACCAGGACTGGCCCCCAGTTACCAATTAACCGGCTGCCCTGGTTTTCCTTTAAATCAACGAGCGCCCTGTGCGGCCCAGATCCCAGCAGAGGTCTGAGGACCCTTGGGCTGGGTGGCTCGGTGGGCATGGCTGGAGCCTCTGGAGCTGCGGCACCAGCCAGTAAATCCGGGGGGGACAGGCCAC